TTTAGCATAACAAAGATTTCCATCTCTCAGGAAATTCCAAGGGTTTTTGAAGTTCTGTGCCAAGAACTGGGAAGAAGACCAATTATATTCTTTATCATCAAATAACACATCCACACAAGCACAACAGTCATGTCTCAGGCAGCCTGGACCCCACAGCATTAGCCAGCCACTCTGTTTGATTCACAGACTCCCTAGGGTGGTGGCAAAGCAAGCCAAAGCCCTCTGAGGGTTCCCTGGATGACCTTCCATAAAAGCAGCCCCCGGGCCCGGGGCAGCCTGGCCCCAGCTGCCCTTGGGTTCCCTCCCCTCCAGGACGCCTGCTTCCTGAAGAACAGTTCAAGGCCATTGGGCAGGAGCTCGTGTTTAGGGCACAGGCTGGCCTTGCCAATCATTGTGCTATTTTGTTTAAAACAAAACAAAACAAATCCCAAGCCCCCACTTGGCAAGGCAGGCCTGGTCCCGAGGACACCACAGCTGCCACTACGGTCAGACACCAGAGGGTACAGTTTGTATCGTGAACCTGCAGGCCCAGGACCATGAGTGACACCCTGCACCATTACCACCACTGCCCTGGGAACTTCACTGAGCTTCAGCGCTGCAGCTACCACAGGGAATTCTCTGTGGCCCTTGGTTCTTCGGTGCCTGCTCCTGTGTTTAGAGTGACTATCTGGGTAGGCATGATCCTATGTTCCAGCTGGGAGGGCAGCCAAAAAAAAAAAAAAAAATGCCGGATGTCTCTGTGTCTCCTGTTCTTTCAGGCCTATGATCCTGCGCTGCCCACACCACAACCCCCAGTGCTGCTGGCCCTGGTCTTCCCACCCCACCCTCCAAGACCCTGGACAAATTCTTCTGTTTTTATGGCCTGAGATTGGAACACCCCCCATGGTATTTCCAACACCCATTAGTTGGGAGTTTCAAAGATAGCTGCTCAGGTTGGCCCCTCTTGTGCTCTGCTGTTCCTACAACTCCCCATACCTCTCCCTCTTAGGAATGGAACACCACTGTAACATATGTTAGGCACATCCTTATATTAGGTACTTATTGTATGCCAGGCCTTGGGCTTCATGTTTCATGTGTGTGATTTCATTAAATCTTCACAGCCACGTTCTCCGATGCAGGGCCCCACCTGACCTGGCCACATTCCCTTTGAACTCACTCCCACACGCTTTCCTTCTCTCCATCTGCTCCAGCCACAGAGGACACACCCTATAGACGAGGTGGTACCACTATCATTTCTGTTTACAGATGAGCAAACTGAGATTCAGAGAGGATAAATGAATTGCTTAGAGTCACAGAGATGGTAATTGGTGAAGCCAAACAGAATTCAAACCCAGGAGTGTCAAATGCCAGAATTCATAGGCTTAATTTTTAACCCCTTCCCAGTTCTAGCACACAGATATCCACACTCCTCTTCTCCCACCCGGCCGCCTCCAGCACAATTTCTGAGCCATGGGGCTGGTGAGGAGACTGCATCAACCTGCCCTTGAGAATTTGGCCACAACAGAGCACCATCTCAGCCTTTGCCCCCTTCCATTAGCCAGTCCAGCCTGGCAGAGGGGCGGGGAGGCATCGTGGCTAAGCCCTCAGGGAGCCACAGCTGTACTGCCAGGGCCTGGATCTTAGTGTTGCTACTTACTGGCTGGGGGACCTTGGGCAAGATGCTTAACTTCTCCACGTCCCCCGTTTCCCCGGCTGCAAAACGGGGATTCTACAGTGCTCACCATGCGGAATCACTGTGAGGATGCGAGGAGTGAGTGCGTGAAGCCGCATTGAGTTGGGTATGGAAGAACAGCAAGCCCAGGGTGCCATCTCCCTGGACTGCAGCCTGACCGCCTTCGGAGGTTGGGCCAGCGCCTCTGAGCCATCTTTGACCTTGATGCACCTCCTGCTCCTGCAAGGCCCCTCTACCTCCGCCTCGTCCTCCATGGGAGCGCTGCAGCCGCTGCTGGGGTCCCCCTGCCTGCCAGCCTCCTGACCTGCCAAGCTGACGAAGCGCTTGTGCAGTCCTGCCCTCAAGGAGCAGGACTCCTCTCTGCGGTCTGCCCAGCTCCAGGACGGGCTGACTGGAGGAGGGAAATGAATATTCATGGAGCTCTTCCCAGGTGCCTGATTTTCTTCCTCACAACAAGGGTGCAAGGTGGTCACAATAAGGACACGGAGCCTTGGAGAGGTCTGCCCAGGGTTTGGGCTGCTGGGCCTTTCGAGGCTCAGATTCTAAGTCGGCGTTCCTCAGGGGCAGAACTTAGCGAGATCAGAGAAACTTACAAAGACCCCAATTTAGGAGAAGGCAAAGCCCAAGTCTCCCGATGACTTTTGGAGCTGACCTGACACCTAGCGGCCACAAGTGGGAATTACTCCACCTTTGGAGGCTCCCAGGGCCGCTGAGGCAGCTGGGCTTGGCCACCCATCCCTTGCTTACTTGAGCGTCAAGGGGTGGCCTGGAGGGTTGAGGTGGGGGGGTGGGGGAGATTTTAACTTCCCTGTAATCTCCATCATTTCGCCAAAGCCACCCAAACAAAAATAAGATTTGATAAGAACATCTTTTCCATTTTATGCAAAAGATGAGAACAAAATTATCTTGAAAAAATTTGTTTTCATTGATCCATAACCATTACAAATGTATAACTTGTTCATTACACATTTTGATACTTCATAGCCTCTCCTTCTTGCCCACACATAACCCTCAGGGTTCCACCTGGGCACCAACATTGATTGGACACTCAGTTACAGGCAGGGAACCTGGAGAATTTTACTGATTGTAACAGATTTAAAAGACATGATCCCATCTGGGCATGGTAGCTCATGCCTGTAATCCCAGCACTTTGGGAGGCCAAGGCAGGCAGATCACTTGAGGCCAGGAGTTCAAGACCAACCTGGCCAACACAGGGAAACCCTGTCTCCACTAAAAAAAAAAAAAAAAAAAAAAAAAAATAGCTGCTCACGGTCGTGCAAACCTGTAATCCCAGTTACTCGGGAGGATGAGGCATGAGAATCGCTTGAATCTGGAAGGCAGAGGTTGCAGTTAGCTGTGTTCACGCCACTGCACTCCAGCCTGGGTGACAAAGCGAGACTCTTTCTCAAAAAAAAAAAAAAAAAAAAAAGACTTGATCCCAGACGTCAAGGACTTCACTTTATTTGGGGAGATAGAGCAGATGTCTACAGAGCACCCGATGTTATGGTAGATGTTTCAGTCCATAGACTCCTTATTGCGTTTCTTTTTCTTTTCTTTCTTTGAGATAGGAGTTTTGCTCTTGTCACCCAGGCTGGAGTGCAATGGCATGATCTCAGCTCACTGCAACCTCTGCCTCCCAGGTTCAAGCGATTCTCCTGCCTCAGCCTCTTGAGTAGATGAGATTACAGGCGCCCGCCACCATGCCCAGCTAATTTTTGTATTTTTAGTAGCGATGGGGTTTCACCATGTTGGCCAGGCTGGTCTCGAACTCCTGACCTCAGGTGATCAGCCTGCCTTGGCCTCCCAAAGTGCTGGATTACAGGAGTGAGTCACTGAACCCGGCCTTTACATTTCTTTATATTCCCTTCATTGTCCTCATTTGGACTCTGAGCTCCTAATCCACCCAGTTGATGGAAATTCCATTTCAGGAACATAGTCAAGGTGGTGCCACTGAGCCTCCATGGTGCTCACTTGTCAGGAGAGGCCCTCTACCTATTGGTCACCAGCCCACACTGATTATTGCTGGGGGTCTTTGGTCCCAGCTCAGGGGGTCCCTGCAGAGCTGCTGCTCTGCTGCCCTCATGCTATGTTTGGGGCAGGGGAGCTCCGCCAGGTTGGGAGCCCAGACCAAGAGTCAGCCTCCAGGGCATAGGTCAGCTACTTGTTCTGAGGTCCTGCCAGACTTGAAGGCCTCCCTCTCCTCCCAGCAGTGCTGGGGAAGCTCCTCTGAGGGCTGCTGTGGCCCACCCTTCTCACTCTTCTCCTCAGTTCTGTTCTCCCCAGTGAGCTTAGGCTGGCAAAAATGTGCACTAGGGAGGGATGAGTCTTGCTAGAAACTTCTATCCTGGCCCTAAACCTCACAACGGCTAAGACTTTAATAAGGAAGAGAAAGGGCAGAAATACAGCACATGAGTGGGACATAAATTATTTCCAATAATGTTTCTGCTGCATGTGCGGAGGGGTCTTGGTGTTCACCTCCACCCTTGGTGAAGCCAAGTGAAACACAAAGGATAGTGACTTGGTTTCTAGACCCTTCGCTGGTGCGCCAAAGTGTGGGTTACCAAATATCAGCCTTCCTCACCCCCTACACTTTCCCTACATTTCACCACTTACCCCAAACAATCACCAGGTGAATGTGCTTGTTCATTTCACAGGTGTTTATTGAGTATCTACTATGTGCCAAGCACTACATGGGGCTGCAGAGGGGCACAAGAAAGTTCCTGCCTTGCTAATCTACAATGGTGTCTGGTAAGATCAATCAAAACTCCCAAAGGTGCCTGTTCCACCCACTTAATCAGTGAATGCTGTTCTTGGCTATTCCTTTTCTTCCTTCACTAAGCTCTTCCTGTCTCCCCAGTTTCTCAAGGAATTTAAAGGCAAAATGCAGAATGATAGACTCCTAGAACGGACTGGGAAGGCTTTATTTCAGCTGCTCCATTTTCAAGGGGAGCCACTGGGACTCCAAGGTCATGTGGCCAGGATGGGATGCCTGCTCTCTTGGTCTCCTGTCCTGGCTCCCTCCTTGTGACCTCACAGCATTTGTTTGCTTCTTAAAGGCCCCTGCCCTCATTCCCTCAGCATCTGTTCCCCCTGCCACTGCCTCCCACCATGGAGGTCTCCCCTGGACTCCATTTTTAATCACTATGATGATTACCCTTGTGCTCTGACCTGCTCTCTGAGGCTCTTTCCCTGCTGCCTAGCAACCCCATCACGTTCCAAATTTGTCTGTGCAGCTCTTAACGAGGCTGCATTGACATGTCCCCTGGTGGTCACTAAAAGCAGAAGGTGGCCCCCGTGGTGACGGGCACACCACCAGCAGCCCAGGACGCCCAGAACCAAGCCAGACTTTATTTGCTTGTGCCCAGCCCTGGCCACAGCATCTGTCCATCGAGATTTCTGCCACCTCTTGCTCTCCTTCCTGCCACCATCCGACTTGCCAGGACTCCTCTCGCCGAGACTTCTTTCCAGACCAGACTTATTGCTATGGCTTCATTGTGTTCAAGAAACTGGTACGAAAGGTAAGGGAAAGATGCTGAGCGCCCATACAGCCTCATGGCTGATGGGCAAGAATGTTAAGATAGGCTCAAATCCAAAGGAGACCATTTGTAAACCCATCTCTGTCCTTAGAGGTCATGCTATTAACCATTATATCTCCCCCACTACACACACTTATGATAAGTACATGGGAAAGGCAGGCAAATGTGCACTTAAGACCATTTGCAAGAGCCCTTTGGGGAGGCAGAGTGAACTATGGAGGGAGATAAAAATGGACCTTCATTTTTTTCCCTTGCTACACTTCTGTGGGTTTAGATTTTTTTTTTTTTTTTTTTTTGAGATGGAGTCTCACTCTGTCACCCAGGCTGTAGTGCAATGGCGTGACAGCTTACTGCAACCTCCGCCTTCCAGGTTCAAGCAATTCTCCTGCCTCAGCCTCCCAAGTAGCTGGGATTACAGGTGTTCGCCACCACACCTGGCTAATTTTCGTATGTTTAGTAGAGGTGGGGTTTCACCATCTTGGCCAGGCTGGTCTTGAACTCCTGACCTCAGGCGATCAGCCTGCCTTGGCCTCCCAAAGTGCTAGGATTATAGGCATGAGCCACCGCGCCCAGCCGGGTTTAGAATTTTTACAATGAGACATTATTTGTAATGTAAAACAACAATGAAAAGGATCATGCAACAATGAAAATTAAAACTCTGCTCCTCAATCACAGCTGATAAAGTGGCAGTGTGTGATCTGAAGGGCAATTTGAAGCGACCCCCAAGGGCTCCCTGCTCGGGTGCGGAGACTCAGGGACCCAGACCCCAGTTCTGTCTCTCGAAGGCCATGTGACCTTGCCTGCAAACCTGGAGACTTTGCTGGACGTGGAACCTGGTCTGGAGCCTCTGAAATGGGCATTTGCCATCAGCTTCCCCAGGAACAAGAGGTGCCACTTTAGGTAGGGGGCAGGTGAGGAGGCACAGGGCAGGCTGCTGAGCAGCACAGGAGTGGGAGGCCCGGTGGTAGCAGGGCAGGTCTGAGCCACCTTTGGGGCCCTCTTGCTGGATGCCAGCGTCACTACCGAGTGATGTCCCCCGTGCTGGTCGCTGTGTGCATTTCCCCCACTCACTCCTTACAGACCCCTCCCAGGTGCCGCGGTTATCTCCCTGTTTTAAAGGGAGAGGCGATCCGCGCACAGCTGCAGCTTTGTTCTGCAGAGCAGGGCTTGCAGCTGGGTCAGTCTGCCTTTCTTGTCTGCGTTGTGGTTTCTCCGCACGACGACTCTGAGTGGACCAAAGGAAAGAGGTACTGGGAGAAGGCTCGTGGGGCAGGGCTGGATGGGAGGACTTGTCCCACAGAAGCTCTTAAGAACACAGTCCAGCCACAGGGCCACCGAGACAGATGGGAGCCCAGCTGCAGACCCAGGCTTGCCAGGGGTAACTGTGTCCTGTGCCTGGGCTGGGAGGTCTAGTGCAGTGAGAGACAGAACAGGTGTGGACCCCTCAGGCCTGGAGTCTCGGCCAGAGTTATCCTTCCCAGCTGCGAGAACTTGGCTGCTTTTCTTTTCTTTCTTTCTTTTTTTTTTTTGAGACGGGCTCACTTTGTGGTCCAGACTGAAGTGCAGTGATGCAGTCTCAGCTCGCTGTGCCCTCTGCCTCCTGAGCTCAAGTAATCCCCCCACTTCAGCCTCCCAAGTAGCTGGGACTTCAGGCATGCACTGCCACATTCAGCTAATGTGTTTTTTTTGGTTTTTAGTGGAGATGGGGGTCTCGCTATCTTGCCCAGGCTTGTCTCGACCTCCTGGGCTCAAGCGATTCTCCTGTTTCAGCCTCCCAAAGTGCTGGGATTATAGGCATGGGCTACTGCACCCGGTGAACTTGGCTTCTTTGCTGCACGTCTCTAGAGCTCTGTTTCATCACTTGCTAAGTGGGGTGATGGCAGCATTGCCATGGGGCACCATGAGGCTGACAGCGTGCCTGTTGGGCAAGTGGAGAGGACAGGCATGTGGTAGGGTCTCATTGTGGGTTGCTTACAGGCATCACCAGCATCATGGACCTGTCCTCTCTCTTCAAGGACTTCGGCCTAAGATACAACATCCCTCACTCGCCAAGCCACGGCAGAGTGCAGGGACCTATAGTCCCTAACACACCGTTAGCATTTGGTGCTTGTGTGCCTCCGCCCTCTGTCTAGGGCTCTGTCTCGCCCGAAACATTGCTGCCTCCCGCCTGAGCAACACTTCCTCTTTGGGCTGCAGGGGTGCCTGGTACACACCCCTATGGCTTCTCTCACCTCACCAGGCCCTAAAAATCTGCTCCCTTGCCTGTCCTCTTCCTGGGCTGAGAGTGTGAGCTCCGGCTCCTCCCGCTGGCGTCCCCAGCATTTGGCCCAGTAGCCAGCAGCGACTGATTGGGCTCAAGTTTCGCTAAACAAGTGAATTGGGGATGAGAAGGAGGGTAGACAGTGGGGCCCGGCCTTGGCATGCAGGGAACAGGCAGGTGGGTGAAGCCCCAAGTAACGAAGTATAGACAGGGCAGCCGGGGGAGCTCGCATCAGCCCAGTCAGGGCCCCTTGCAGAGAACGGGGAGCGGCGTGGAGCCTGGGCTGACCTGAAGTTCACCATGCCTGTCTTCTCATCGAGCTTCTTTATCACCTCCCTGACCTGGTACTGGTTCAGAGGGACCTTGGTTTGCTGAGGAGGTGGATGGAACATGTGCAGTTAATAGAACTCTGTTCACCCCTCCCTACGCACGCCCCCCTTCCCCACTATTACACACACACATCTTCCACACACACACACCCCACACACACAATGCCTCACTCCTCCTGGGACCGTGGAGGGCAACTGATTGAGAGCTCAGGGGAAACTGATTCCACAGCATGGAGGGGCTGGAGAAAGCTCCCTGCCCATGGGTCATTGTCCAGACTCCAAAGGGCCTCCCCTTTCTGGGGGCAATAAGGGAGGAGGAGATCAGAGTCAGGTGGAGCGAGTGGCTGGGGAAGGGGACAGGACTCTCTTTTGCATCCTGTGAAGTTCATTCTTACTTCCTGCCGCTGAGTCCCGACCAGGCTTTTCGCCCCTGGCTGGGGTACTGGGCACCGGACACTGACTGACTTATCCGTCCCTGCCTGGGCCCTGGGAACTTCTCCTCTGGAGTCCTATTCCTGCAGGGCCCAGGTCTCTCCTGGGATACTCTGATGATAGACCCCTTCAAGTATGCATTACAGGGGGCTTTCAGCACCTTTGTTACATGGGGAGTGAGAGGAATGTGGGATTTCAGAAAAATGATATGGCCCAAGGTGGAAATGTTGGGACTTTGGGATGTGGTCTCCTCTCTCACTCCCTTTGTAATCTGCCCAGTAGTGAAATGCAATGGGGAGAAAAACCTCAAGATAGAAGATGTGTCTCTGGGTGGCATCTCGGGTCCCCGGTGGCATCAAGCCATAGCATAGGAATGACTTCAGCAGGGGTTGAGGGAGGTCTTAGGTTCCCCTCTGGGTCTAGATAAATGAGGGGAGTGTCCCATAGCCCATCCCAGGAAGCTCTAGGAAGTGCTTACAAGCTCTTTTGCTCCTTCTCCTCCTCTCCCCTCTCTCTGACACACAAACACACACACACAAACTCACTCACACTCACACACTCAGCCTGTGGCCACTAGGACCCAGCACACCTCTATCATCACTTTCTGGAACTCGTCCACAGACATCTTCATTGTCCCGGTGGGGTTCAAGCTCTTGAAGAAGTCCATGACTGTGATTTTGTGCTGGTCTGCATAGTTCTGAGAGAAGCAGAAGAGACCAGGAGCAAACACTTGGCCTCCTAACAGTGATCGCAGGCCCCCCTCACCTCCCACAGAAGGGTGGCCCGTGCTTCCAGGCCTAGCACGGCTGAGAAGGGCAGAAGGCCAAGGTGAGGAGCCTGAGTCTCCCAGGTGTTGGCCGTTCCCTAAGACCAAGAGCCGAGTGCAGACCTACCAGGCCTGGCAAGGGTGCATGCCGGGATGGTTCCTGTGTGCTCGCCAGGCTTCCAGGAACCCCTTGGCATGGCACAGACGCTCCCTTTGTTCCAAAGGTGGAAGGACTGAAGTCCAGGCTGTTCAGGCGTCGCGGTGCCAACGGGATGGGGCATGACCATTATCTACATATGTGATCTGTTAACACTGGTATGGACGGTGTGCTGTGGATGGTGGGCGGATGTTCAGAGATCAAAAGGTTAAACCACAGCTGTATAATGTGATGGTTTGGCTCTATGAATTCCTAGGATTCTCACAGTTTCACGTCAATGCTCACATGGAAACATACTTATTTCATTTTTTTCATTTAAAAAATATAGTCATCCCTTGATATCTGCAAGGGATAGGTTCCAGGACCACCTCAGATACCAAAATCCACCAATATGAAAAGGCAGTCCTCCATCTCCGTGGGTTTCTCATTCCTCAGATGCTGTACTTTGGATCCATATTTGCATATGCAGAACCCACAGGTACGAAGGACTGACTGTATTTATTGAAAAAAAATCCAAATATGTAGAAGTCGATGAAATGGCACAGTTTAAACCCGTGTTGTTCAAGGGTCAAGTGTATTATTACTCACATTGCAAGGCAATTTTAGATTAGCAGAAGAAAATTTTAAATATCACCCACAAATCTAATACCACCACACGCAGGTAATATCCTGGTGTGGACCCTTTTATCTTTTTAGCTATCTATCTGACATCAATCTGTCTAACTTCTATCTATCTGTATATCATTATCATCTATCTCTATCTATCTATCTATCTATCTATCTATCTATCTATCTATCTATCGATCTATCTAATCTCTCATCTTTCTACTAAACCTACTGTTTTACAGAACCCGCTGTTCACATGTGAACACCTTTTCAATGACATTATAATATTCTTTTCCTTTTTTTTTTTTTTTTGAAACAGAGTCTCACTCTGTCGCACAGGCTGGAGTGCAGTGGCACAATCTTGGCTCACTGCAACCTCCGCCTCCCAGCCTCTCAGATTCAAGCAATTCTCCTGCCTCAGCCTCCCGAGTAGCTGGGATTACAGGCATGCGCCACCATGCACAGCCTATTTTTATATTTTTAGTAGAGATGGGGTTTCACCATGTTGGTCAGGCTGGTCTTGAACTTCTGACCTCAAGTGATCCTCCCACCCCGGCCTCCCAGAGTGCTGGGATTACAGGCATGAGCTACCGCACCCAGTCTTACAATATTACAATATTCTTTTAGATCCTTTTTAAGCATTTTTTTTCTCTTCCCCACTGTGACCCCTGCTTCCCCCCGGCCACTCCCCGCCTCCCCTCACTCTCAGAAACTCGGACAGGGTCCTGCTGTATGGATAGCTATTTCTGGCAACATCCGGCTCACGAAGCATTTCCTCAGGGCTCAGCCCTGGGGCCCTTGCTCTTTGTTCCCCACACTTCCCCTTCCCAAGTGCACGGCCTCCCACCCTTCCGGAGTGCCTCCCGAAGCTACATTTCCAGTTTTCCATCCTCCACGGCTGCGGACACCCCACCGGCACTTCAGTCAACACATCCGAAGTGCCCCTCATCCCCTGAATCTGCGCACTGCTGCTGAGCGCTGTGGCAGAGGCCGTGGGTGAGCCCGCGGCACCCACTGCTGTTTCTTCGCAGCAGGCTTCTCATCCATGCAGAGGCTGGAAAGCTGAAAGCGACATTCCCCAAGCCCCCTTGCAGCTGAGGGTCAGAATGGATGGCCTGTGCCAAGCACCTGCCTGAGATGTAAGTGTGAGGCTTGTGTCTGATTTGAGAGAGGCAGGTGGTGGGCAGCGGCTGTGGTTGCTTCCTGACTGGGCAGGGCATTCTGCGGTCGTGCAGCTTCTTGATTATAGCAGAAGGAGCAACCCTCTTGGCAACCCAGTTGGGGTGCTTTGAGAGCCATTTCTGGAATCTAACAAGGGTCTGTTTGTTCAGCCCTCCTGACATTTCTATGGTCTCTCTCCTGTAATAAACCCCTGTGTGCTTAACCTAGTTGGAGTAAATTCTGTGGCCAGCAACTAAGAACCTTGCCCAGCTACTTTGGTAGGTGCTACTACTAAGACCCCACACAGCCCTGCCCTGGAGGAGTTCACAGGATTGCAATGAAAGGGTGAAGCCGAGGGCTTCAGGAACACAAAGGGCGTTCGCCCTTGACCGGGGAATCCAAGAAGCGTTTCCCTAGGAAGTGACATTGTGCAGAGACCTGAGAATGGGTAGGAATGAGCGAGACACAGAAGGCAAGAAGAAAAGTGTTCCAGGTGGAAGGACCTGCCCTGCCCGTACACAGGCCTGCAGTGAAGGGAGGGCTGATGCAGAGAGGATCCGGAAGCACTCTAGTGGGGCTGGAACGTGGAGAGACAGGAAGGGCCAGGTGGCAGGCACTTCCCCCATCTGCACTTCCCTGCCTCTGGCAATCTTTCCTTCAGTCCCTTGGGCTTGAAATCTTGGGTTACCTTTGGGTTTCTCTTATCATCACAGGCCTTCCTATCCCAACACACACACACACACACACACTCACATGCATGCAATACATAACCCCACATACCCAACCATTCGCCAAGTCATGGAGATGTTTCCATAATGATAGCTCTTACATCTGCCCTTCAATTCCATTGTTATTCTCAGCCAAGCCATCATTCCACATCTAGAATGCTACAATAGTGTGCTTATATGGTTTCCTACTTTTTTTTTTTTTCTTAACCCTCTTCAATTCACTCCCCATTGCCAGAACCCCTCAGTCCTGCTGGATTTGCATCACATCCACTGCCCAACAGCTCTCACCGGCTCCCTGTTCCCGATGGAATCAAAGCCGAACTCAGAGCCTAAAATCTGAGGGCTGCCACTTGCAGCCCAGCCTCCCTTGCCAACTTTGCCTCCTGGGCTCCTCTATGAACCTGTAGTCATGTGTTAGTGTCCCCTGAACATGCTGCGTGCGGTTCCACCTCGGCACCTTTGCTGGCGGGAGCCTCTGGACGGAACACCCTCCCACCCTCTGTGGCTCACCTCAGTCTTTGACATTCTTCAGGGCCCTTACCCGATCCCATTTCTTCCAGGAAATCATCCTTTTCTGGTTGCCCAATCCTACGTGGATCTCTTATTTGGATTTCGACTACATTTTCTGCTTCTGTCACTTTTTT